CGAGATACCCACTATGCCACAACGAACCCCGCTCATCCTAGTGTGAAGCTGTCTTCAGGCACAACTTAGGACGAAAGCACTCGTGCACCGGGTGTAGAGGGAAGGTCCAGACTGTAAAACCTCATGAATGTGTGCGGAGTGGCCCAGCCAGCCGCCTCACATATGTCATGGATAGAAACCCCTGAAAGGAGGGCTCTAGAGGACGCCATGCCTCTGGTGGAGTGAGCCCTCACGGCCATAGGTGAAGGCAAATTGCGCACCTGATAGGCCAGGGAAATAGTCTGAACGATCCAGTTGCTGATGGTCTGCTTAGAGGCGGGAAGCCCCTTCTTGGGAGACCCAAAACACACCAGCAACTGGTCCGACTTCCGCCATGAGGAGGACTTCTGGATGTAATACTGAAGTGCTCTGACAGGGCAGAGCAGATGAAGTCTCTCCTCATCCGCCGTCACATGAGGCGGAGGATGAAATGCCTGCAGAACCAAAGGCCGTGCCACATTAGATGGCACCTTGGGCAAATAGCCAGGCCTGGGGTGAAGGATGGCCTTAATGTTGCCGGGAGCAAACTCCAAGCACTCATTGGAAATAGAGAGCGCCTGGAGATCTCCTACCCTCCTCAGAGAAGTAATAGCCAACAAAAAGACCACCTTGAAGGTCAGGTTCTTGGCCTCAGCCGACTCCAATGGTTCGAAGGGGGCCTCGGCCAGCCCTTCGAGCACCACTGCCAGGTCCCACAGTTTCCACAGCTCGGGCCGAGGGTGGAGAACTGAGCCCCCCGCCTGAGACAACAGGTCCCTCCTCAGAGGGATCTGCCATGGCGGGCCTGCCAGAAGCAAGATGATGTCCGAGAACCATACTCGGGCCGGCCAAAACGGGGCTACTAATAGTAGGCTGACTCCGTCCTGACGGACCCTTTCCAGAACTGCTGGGAGCAGAGCGATTGGGGGAAAGGCGTACAGACGCAGCCTCGGCCACGTCTGCACAATGGCATCCAACCCCAGCGGGGCTGGATGTGTGAGGGAGAACCACAGTGGACAGTGTGTCGTCTCTCGAGACGCAAATAGGTCCACTTCCACTGGGCCAAACCTCTCGCATACTAACTCCACCACCTCGGGGTGGAGTCTCCATTCCCCGGGCCTCAGCCCCTGCCTCGACAGCATGTCTGCTCCCTGGTTCTGGTCCCCCGGGACATACATCGCCCTGAGAGACGACAGTCTCCGCTGGGACCACAGGAGGATCTGATGCGCCAGTCTGCACAGAGGGCGCGACCTCAGACCCCCCTGATGATTTAAGTAAGATACCACCGACATGTTGTCGGATCTTACTAGGACATGGCGACCATGGAGGTCTGGCAGAAAGCTCCTCAGAGCCCGGAACACCGCCAACATTTCTAGGCAATTTATGTGCCAAGAGGAATGTTGGTCCTGCCAGAGACCTCTCGTAAAACGGCCGTCCATGACCGCGCCCCAGCCCGTGAGGGAGGCGTCTGTCGAAATAGATATCCGGTGACACGACGCTCCCAGCCTGGGACCCTGGGACAAGAACCAAGGCTTCTTCCAAATTGATAGGGAACGAAGGCATCTGCGCGTAACCCTTATCAAGCGGAATGGATTTCCCCTCGGGGAAAACCCCTTGGCTCTTAACCACCACTGCAGGGCTCTCATGTGCAGCAGGCCAGAAGGTATCACGCTGGACGCTGCTGCCATTAGACCCAACACTCTCTGAAAGTGTTTGACAGTGACGGCCTGGCCTAGCTTTATCCTGGACACTGAGGTCAGGATAGACTCGATCCGAGCAGGAGACAATTGTGCCTGCATCGTGACTGAGTCCCACACCACTCCCAGGAACGTGGTTCTCTGGGCTGGTGTCAACACGCTCTTCTTCGTGTTGAGTCTCAACCCCAGGCTCTGGATGTGGGCGAGGACGACATCTCGATGCCGAATCGCCAGCTCTCTCGACTGTGCCAGTATTAACCAGTCGTCGATGTAATTGAGCACCCTGATGCCCTCGAGCCTCAGGGGTGCTAGAGCTGCATCCATACACTTGGTAAAGGTGCGAGGGGAGAGTGCTAGGCCGAACGGAAGAACCCGATATTGGTAAGCTTCGCCCCCGAAAGCAAACCTCAGGAACTTCCTGTGAGATGGAAGGATGGAGATGTGGAAGTAGGGGTCTTTTAGATCTATCGTGACAAACCAATCCTCGGATTGGATTTGATTCACGATAATGGGAATAGTGAGCATTTTGAACCTGAATCTCCTCAGAGACCGATTCAGATGCCTCAGATCTAAAATTGGACGCAACCCTCCATCCTTCTTTGGAACTATGAAGTACCGGCTGTAGAACCCGGACTCTCTGACTAGTGGGGGAACACGCTCTATGGCCCCTTTTTCTAGCAGCGAGTTGACTTCCTGTCCCAACACCAGACCCTGCTCTGGGCGCACTAACGTCCAGACCACCCCGTTGAATTTCGGTGGGCGGACCTGGAACTGTAGTCTGTACCCAATTTCCACAGTGCGCAGGACCCATGGAGAAATATTCGTGAGGTTTTGCCATGCCTCTGCGAAATTCACCAAGGGAACCAGCCCCTCGGGGCTGGTGTCCAGTGTTTTGTGTAAGCCCTTGGCGGCACCCTGAAGCGGAAGACCGGCAGGGGAAAACCGACAACGACCCACAGTGTGCGAGCGCGAACGCTGTCTGACTGCAAGCCTTTGGGGCAGAAAAGACAGCGTGTGCTCGCTGGAAGCTGGCGCGTCCCGATGCGTCAGAGACGGCGGGATACTGACGCCAGCTTCCTGAGGGCCCGACGAGAGAGGGGACCTCGGTCGCTCTCTCTCGGGGGGGGCGGCCCTTGGAGGTCCCACAGGAGTTAGGACCTCTTTCCCTTCGCCTTCCTGGACTGGATGACGGTCCTCAGATCCGTCCTTCCAGCAGGCTGTGGGTGAGAGCGCTGCCTAGGGTCCCAAGCTGCTTGAGGGGGACCTCTAGAAGCGACACTCCCTCTTTGGCCCTGGCGATAGGAGCTGGATGACGGCTGTGGCTGTTTTGACCCTCTAGCAGCCGACTTCCTAGACCTCGACCGGCGAGGGAGATATTGCCTAAACGCTTCACTCTGCTTTTTAGTGTCCTGAAATCTGTCGACGACAGCATTAACCGCCTCGCCGAACAGACCAGAGGTACAAATGGGTGCATCAAGAAGAAAAGCCCTGTCCTTCTCCTTGATGCCAGAGAGATTAAGCCACAGATGCCTCTCCGTGGTTACCAGAGCTGACATGGAGCGGCCGATGGCGCGGGCCGTCTCCTTGGTAACCCGGAGAGACAAGTCTGTGGCTTTACGAAGCTCGGCAACATCCTCCCTAGTAGGACCCTCGCCCTGGTCCATGTCTTTTAAGAGGTCGGCCTGGTACGCCTGCAGAATGGCCATCGTGTGCAGGCTCGCACCAGCCCGACCTGCCGCCATATAGGCTCTGCCCACCAACGCAGATGTAGTGCGACATGGCTTGGAGGGCAACGCCGGCGTCTTAAGGGACGATGCAAGATCGGGTGAGAGGTAACTGGCTAAAGCTTCCTCAACCCGAGGCATCGTTCCATAACCATTCTCTCTAACCCCCATAATGTCACTATAGTTCAACATCGGGGGGTTAGACAGGCGCGCTGAAAAGGGCCTGTTCCAGGATTTACACAACTCGTTGTGTAAATCCGGGAAGAATGGTAGAGACCGTCGTGGAGGATGTGCACGGTGCTGCAGGAAGCGCTCGTCGAGTTTACTTCTGACTCGCTCTTCCTGCCTCTCCTGTGGCCAACTAATATGTAGTTTAGTCACAGCCCGTGTCACCACCTCCAAAAGCTCATTATAGCTGGGCGCAGTTTGTGTGTGTGTGTGTGCTTCATGCAGATCCCCCTCCACAATGCTGAGCACATCTAATTCCTCGGAATCAGACAGCTGCAGCACTGGGTCTACATCCCGAACGGGAGAAGCCGCGGAGCGGGCTCCCGAACGGGGGATAGGGGAATCTGAGCTTTCAGATGAGGATCGGGAAAGTGCCTCGGCAGTCCCGACCCCCTCTGAAAGCTCCCTTTGCGAACCCCACGATCTAAGTCGCCGCATCGCCTCGGCAGATGCGGGACCTGAACCGCGGGGAGCGCGCATCTGGCCATCCTCAGAAAATAAAGCCAGACGGGAACGCAGCACTCTCATAGAAAGAGAATCACAGTGGCCGCAAGCAGCCCCCTCGAGAGCTGCTTGGGCGTGCTGCATTCCTAAGCAAGCCACACACATCTCGTGTGTGTCCCCAGCCGTGATAAAGCGAGGGCACGGGAACACACAATTTTTAAACTGCTCACTCATTCTCAAAATAGATCAGAACTGAGACAAACAACACCAAATAGGACAAACTGATTTCAACACAACACAGAGCGCTTGCTGAATAGCAAAAAGCTGACATTTTCTGTGTGCCGGCGTGCTTTTGTACACATCCGCTTATGCCGTCACACGCTACGTCATCACGCAACGCCAATAGGATTGGATTCGGTTTCATTCATAAATTCAGACGTGCTACGCTGAAGGGCGTTCCCCTAGTGTCGTCACCGACGCAGTTCGAGTTCCCTCGAAAGGGAACACACTCGTTATTTTTGTCTTGTTTTACGCATTCTTAAATCAAGTCACATTTACTTGAGAAGCAAAATTTGACAAATGAGATAAGTCTTGTTTTGCGAAAAATTTATCAAAATGAAGTGAGTTTATGCTTTAAACAAGAAAAAATGGTAACGCTTTAGATTACAGCCCGGAAAGTACTGCGTAATTAAAGCGATTTTACAGTGTAACCTTCGGTAATTATAGTGTACCTATAACGTACTTACAATATAAGTATAAGGGAACAATATTTTAAGTTTGGGGAATAAAGGGGTAACATATAAAAATATTTATACTGTAAGTATTATAGAACTAAGGGGTTCTTATTCTACTTTTATGATATAACAATCTTACATTTGGGAGCAATTTAGCAAGAACATACCTTTTTGAAATAATGGTAAACCAGCATACTGTATAGGCTTTTTAAAAATTACAGGGTACATATCTATGCATTTATAAAGTAATCTTTTTAACAAAAGTGCACTGAAAACGAAAACTATTGCAACTTTTGCTTAAATATTGGGGAAAGATACTCTTGTTTCATGTAGTGGTACTTGTTACCCTCTTGTTTCATGTAGTTACAGGGTAAGTGTGACATTGCGGGCTGTAAATTAAAGTGGTGCTTGTTACCCTCTTGTTCCATGTAGTTACAGGGTAAGTACAATAAAAATGCATACACAATCTTATATCACTGACTCGGAAACCTTTATTTATTATACAAGCACCACTTACCCTGTAACCACATGAAACCAGATATATTTCCCAGTATATTAAAAAAAATTGCAATAGTCTTAGCTTTTCTTGCATTGAAACATGTTAGCCCAAACTTAAACATCTGCACTTTTGCTATAAAAAAAAAGAAAAGAAAATAGATATGTACTGTCATTTTTAAAAAGCCTATGTATTGCCTTGGTACACAATTATTACTAAAAGGTACGCAGTGTATGTTCTCGTTAAATTGCTCCCAAATGTAAGATTGTTATATCATAATAGTAGAATAAGTACCCCTTAGTTCTATAATACTTACAGTATAAATATTTGTTTATTTCTCCTGGTTGTTACCCCTTTATTCCCCAAACTTTACATATTGTTCCCTTATACTTACATGTAAGTACTTTATAGGTACACTATAATTACAGAAAGTTACACTGTAAATTCCTCTTAATTACACAGTACTTTCCGGGCTGTAATCTAAAGCGTTACCGGAAAAATATCTGCCAGTGGGTTCAGAAAAATAGACTTTGTTTTCAGCAAAAACGTACTTAATTTTGATATTTTTTTTTTTTCAGAAAACAAAACTTAACATTGCATAATTTAGCATCTCAAGTAAATGTATCTTGATTTAAGAATGTTTAGATATTTATACTGGAAAACAGGACAGGAGTAGGTGTTTAACTCGAATACTGAGTTTTGCCGTGTCAATGGCTAAAATAAAAGGCTGTTCATTGTATCTGTGCATCCTAATGGCAAAAGTACAATCCTAAACTTTTTTAATCAGCTGACCCCACAAATTAGCTCATATTAGCAGCCCAGCTTCATCATAAGCGCATCTGCACGGTTTTGTGGTTCAAATTGCTGTGACTCAAAGCTGTTTTGTTTCTCTTTCTCCGCAGCGATGGCTTTTACTGGCTGGGAGCGCTGAGCACACGTTTGGCCTTATCGAATGAAACAGCGCTGGAATATTTCACGTTGGTAAATATGTGAACAGTAAGGAAACAGGCCCTCGGGCCAAACTCTGCCAGGTCTGCTGCTCTCAGCACAGGCTCGGCTCTGACGGAACGTCTCATTAATGAGAGAGGGAAATGTCACATACAGGCAAGCGGGGCGAAGCATTTTGACTTGCCCCATAAAAGTCCACGTGAAATAATGAGATTCCCTGTTACTTGCGTTTCTGTCCGTACTGCTCCTCGCACACGGTTTGCAAAATGGGTTGTGTTTTCTTTTAAGAGAACTTGTAGTGTTTCCAAATGGAAGTGCACATGCAGGTGAAATGTACATCATGAAAATGCACAAATCAGCACGTCCTTGACTTTTATGTCATAAAATGAACAAATGGGAATTCTGTGAGAAGGACTCTCATTTTACGCCTGCAAACTGTCGCTTGATGACATTATAATACATTATTAGAGAAGTGGTTTCTCATAGATTTGTTTTGAAATCTAAAATGAACCATATTCATTTATTCCATTCCTAAAATAATGAAGGAATTTTCAGCCTTTTTAAAGGGTCACAAACCATAAAAGAATGAAGAAGACGACGTATGGTATGGAACAGTAGTTTCTTTAATATTAGGGCCAGATTTACTAACAGCTTTACTAATTTTACTAACTGATTTACGCCAGCGCAAACCCTCTTTGGCGTTAAAAAACTACTGTCAGGATTTACTAAAGTCATGCAGTGAAAAATTAGCGCTGAAAGACGTGTATAGTTATTTTTGTGGCTGAGCTTACTGCATATGCATTTGTAGGAGTTTCCATTTTAGACACAACATTTATGGGAGGAGAGTATTTAAATGAATCATGCAAGGTGATTTACTAAGGTTTGCGCTACAATTTACTGGTATTTGGGCCATTATTTAACTCCCCAAAAATTTGCTCTTAAACAGAGACTTGGTAGATTGTATTGGTCATTAAGGAAATCAATCAATCTATTTGTCTATCTATCCATCTATCTGTTAACTTTGAGCATTGACAATAATGTGTGTTAAAGAATGAAATTGAATGAATACTTGGCATTACCATCCAACTTTGTGTAAATCACATTCAATCTAACCAGAGCTTAAAGCTTTAAAAACACTCTAAGAGATGATCTAATCCACGACAGACATGAGAGTGGAAATTCATATATGTAAAGGCCATTCTGTGCCTCATAAAAGCAAATCTTCAAATGGGACCCTGCTTAGCGGCAGAGGATGAGTTTGCTTTGATATCATGCATTTTTGATTAGTCTGGCCTCGGCCAGTCTCCCGATGTGCTGGCGTGTGAAGGGCAGAGAGAGAGAGTTTGGAGGTCACGCTCACAGTCTGAAATCCCCACAGCAAACAGCCCTCGCGCATCCCAGGAAACAAACACTCCAATATGCAAAGTGCTTATCATTTATCATTGAGTTCCACTAGCGAAATGGTAGTTGAACTCAGGTCAAAGTTTTTTGCCTTTTTTTAAAGTGTAACTTCTCTTTTGCGGCCAAAGGCTCAGTGAGGTCTCTCAGTCAGAAATGTAATGGGAATGTATGAGCGTTTGGTTCTTTGACAATCTACAGCCACGTTAGTATACCTCTGACATTGAAGTGACTGGCCCAATTAGAGTCGAATGAAACTCATGCGCTGACAAGTGGATAATTATGTGGGAATCCAAGTCGTCTGTGAATCCCTATTTTACTTTTAACAGGGAAAGCATATACATCTCTTAAAAAATAGCATTTGTGTCCATCTGTTCCAGTTTAGATTTTTTTTTATGTCAGAAAATAATTTCTATATATATATATATTTTTTAACAAATGGTCAGTGAAAGGTGTTTAACCATCAATTTTGATCAACTAAAAATATTTAAATTGCATGTATTTAATATTTTATAATATTAATAACATTAAGACATAACATAAATAACTATATATATATTTGTAAATATGTTTAGCCAATAATGTTTATCTAATGATCATATATATATATATATATACGTGTATTTAAATTAGTAGTATTTAATTTAGTATTTAATCATTAATTTCTCAACTTATATGAATAGAGAAAATGTATTCAAAACCCTGTCACCAAAATTTGGGACACATTTAAATACAATAATTTTACTATTTGATAGCTGTAAACATTACAACATAAATAAGTAAATACAAAAAAAAAAATCCATATAATGCTTAAAATAAAATTCATGGGAGACCAATTATTATAGATTGGTCTCCTTATGCTCAGCTGTAAAGGTTTCCCATGAGTCCATCAAAATGAACACATATTTTAACAAAAAAAAATTTGTCCTGATGTTTTGAGTTCAAAGGATGAGTGACTCATTTCCAATTTAACACATTGAGTTTTTTATTTCTATTTCAGACTCATGACTTAAATCTTTAAAAGTGATGAACAGCTTGCTTCACTCCAAAGCGAGTTTTTCTTTCGCACAAAGCTGCATTTACTCCAACTAAAGGAGTAGACCGTGACATATGCTGAACCGGAGTTCAGAGATGCCACATTCACAGTTAACGCCGAGCCGTCTTGTATTGTGAGCATCGGTGCTTTTATTCTGACTCGCCCTGAATGAGAGAGAATGCAAGGTGAAAAGCCCTGGTCTTGTTCACAATCCTGCTGTTTGATGTCAGCAGACACAAGGGTGACAAAATGTCACTTTAATCAGCCGTAATTAGGAACGAGGCAGAATACCTCCCAGGGTTTCTACACACTCAAGATAGATGTCGTCTAGTGCTTGCTTCACAGCCAGGGTGACAAGAAAAAGAGTGACAAAACAACCTCGGGTCATAGCCATTTATAAATAAAGGTGACACATCTGACAGATAAAGACCATAAAGCAGCAATAAGCCTTGACTAGAGCTTGTACTAATTCTAATTAATCTCATTAATCAACATTAGATGTATAATGCAATAGAATTCTATTGTGGGGCTTTTATTATCATGGATGGAATCATATTTAATCTTAAGGAAACTATGTATAAGAATCAATGATATATGCTCATCATTTCTTGATTGTAGTACTGGAGTCCCACAGGGATCGATTCTGGGACCAATTTTATTTAGCTTGTATATCATTGACTATTTGACAGATTAGAGATTAGTTGGGCATCACAACAATATGGTGGCAAAATTGTACCAGTTTTGATGACGTTACTCATTCTGATTTGTACATGATGGAAGAGGATGATACATGTCCGTCGGTCCAGATTTAATCAGATTTATATTGTGAAGAAATAACTCAGGTGCATGTTGGCGGCTTATAGGAAGATTTACTCCCTGCAGCTGCAGATACATTAGAACAATCTAAAAACAATCTCTTTAATGAAATTTTTTATGCAGCCTCTCATCTCCTTGTATAGAATAGGGATTTAAGCAAAAAGCATCGAAAGTACAGATCAGTGAGAGCACAACCTTCCTTTCAGTCAAGGGGAATTATTTTCAGGGGGAATCAGGAAAAGCATATTCCCAATATGATGCTTTCAGGAGTTTTTCTTTTTTTCCTGTTAATCAAGTGTCGTTGGAGAGAATCCAGAGGTCTTGTCATTGCGTGAGAATGGCCTATGTGAAGCACGCAGTTTAATCATTGATTTGGTCTCACATGGGGAACCATGGGATAGCTTATTTCATCTGTTAACCACATTTAATGCAATGTCCTTCCCTTGACTGAGCAGCTCAGATGTTCGTTTTAATGCAGCATTCAGGAGCTCAGAAACATGCGACCCCCGTGAGAGCGTGAGACTGCATAGGACACATGCAGTAATGCATCGTAAAATGTATTTTAAACAAAGTAGCCAGTTTCTGACAAAAACAGCTCAGGAAACTTGCGGTTCTCCGGGAACAAAAAGGGAAACATAAAGTAGATCATGGAGTGTTGCAACACATTTTATTTAACTATTTTTTGTGTGTGTCTCATATTTTAATATTCACATACAGTACTTACACTATCGTTCAAATGTTTGTGGTCAGTAATATTTTTTTTTAAGTCTTCTGCTCACCAAGGCTGCATTTATATGATCAAAAATACAGTAAAAACAGTAATATTGTGAAACATTATTTGCAATTTAAAAGAACTGTTTTGTATTTTAAAATATAATTTGATCCTGTGATGGCAAAGCTGAATTTTCAGCATCATTACTCCAATCTTCAGTGTCACATGATCCTTCAGAAATCATTCTA